ATACATTGATTGTTTAAAAGAGGAATTTTGATCTGCAGAAACTTCATTCTTTCAATGGGTGTCATTACAATAGAGATCAAATCTGACTTGGAGAATGCACCTTCCAACCTGTTCTTAAAAGAAGACATAACCAAACATTTAGAAGATAAATCTACCGAAAATTTTCACGGGAAGAATAGGTTAGTTCTTCTCACTATTAGATCCTATTAGGCAAGGAAAGAAATGCTTTCAATTTTCTTTCATCTTTAATTTGAAAGCTTTATGCTGTTGTAACGTTAAACAATGAAATTCACTTCTTGGGATTTGCTTTCATAAGAAATTAATATCCACTGTTGACCATTCCATGTGTTTATATCGATACTGTCGTTGCTGTGGAGCTAGTTGCATACGCCTTCAGATAGCACTGACAGATTCCCCAATGTCTGTTTCAAAAACTTGCAGCATGACTCAATAAAGGTAATTGTAGCTTGATCAGTTGTTCCATCACGCAAAATATGATTGATAGTTTGTGTACATTTGCAGATGGTTCGTCTTTTGTAGCCCACAGAATACAATGAAATCTTGGAAAAGTTGTGTAAGCGCTTACTTTGCAGTGATAAAACCCTAGCAATACTAAAAAGTAAATCGAAATTATATGTTTTGAGGCAATTTTTTCACCCTCCATTATTATTCCCCATCTTATCCTCAGCTATCGAGTTCTCAAGCCTAAATAAAATTTAGTTTCATTTCAATATTACATTTATTTTCTAACTCAGTTAGTGACATCTCATTCCTTTTGTCGCTGGTTCCAGTTTACTCACTTTGGTACGTACTTGTCATTTTTCGGTTTAATCTGACATCTTTTTCATCTCAGCCATTTATTCATTCTGTCAAGTAATTTGATAACTAATACTCAACACACATTCCTTCGTAATTTTCCTGACGAAAACCAAATCAGATCTTGTTACAGTTTTTGTGATAAAATATGTACACTAATTATGTGTTGATTCTATTGCACAGCTTCTAAAAATGACATCTCCCAAAACACACCAACTTGGAGGTTTGTGGTGATTTGATTGGTTTCATGGTGGAATTCACCACTGAATTACATCAGTTGGAAAACTGTTGAAAATCTGGGAGCACTGGACAGTTGTTTCGTCGCAGTATGATGCTCTTTGGCAGTGCGCACTAGCAAGTCTGGAAGAGATAAAACCCAGGATCTTCAGGTTTCGCGGTAGTCATGTTACCACTGTGGCAGTGAATCAGAACTCAGTGGGTCATATCTTCCTACTTTTGTCAATTCGCCATGTGGCATGACCTTCATTCAATGCCATTCTTGAGTGCTTGGCGTCATGTCCTACTTGATTTATCCTACGTGTCACGAATTCTCACCAGAACTTCAGAAAATCTCACCCCAAGGCATGTTACTAATGGGCTAAACAGATGTAGGAAAATATAGACCACTGGATTCTAACTTAGTGGGTCAGTGTCAAAGTTCTTGCTTCGAAACCAGAAGCTTCTGTCATAGATCCCTAGCAGGGTCGTTGATACGCAACTCTGAGAAGTCCTATGCTGTGGTGAAACAGCTGTCAATCGCTGTCACGTTTTTAATTGTTCTCCAACTGATATCAGTCCATTATGAACACCACCCTGGGAAAAACCATGTTGTTCTCTGGAGTTTATCCTTTATCTGTAAACGGCTGTTGATAGGATAAGTAATTGTGACAGTGCTTAGAAAATTCTAGGAGGTAACTGTGCTGAATTACGACAGTGTTTCATTTACTCATTATCCGATCTCAGCGTAAAAGCGTACTAGCATATTATCCTTACTTCTTGTTGAGGTTGAAAATTCTACAGGTCACTTGAACTAAATAAAGCTGTATTCAGTTCAAACAACCTACCTCGTTGATGATCGTTCATCGTTTTAAGTTAAACTGATCAAAACACTTGCTACTGTTTGAAAATCAAATATAATTATCTGGTGCTAGTCTTGATTTTGTCAGACTAATTTGTATAAAAATATAGCAATACTTGTTTGCCTATTACAAGGGATTTATCTTAACAAATGTAATCATTAAGATCCTAGGTTTTAACGCTGTTCACGGCATATCACCGGATCTTTGAACTGAAGAGTGCTATTTAAGATATATTTTCAATCCAGAGGTATTTTTTCAGTCAGTTGTTTATAGGGTGGCTTGTCAGTCTTGCACGGAAACTAGTGCTGAGCAAATGGATCATATCATTCGTAGCTGTCCATATGAAAACTCATGGTCATGTTAAAGCTTATGACTAAGCACTAGGCAGTGTGAGTCTTCAGTATTTATCAGAAGGTTATTCACTAACTTCAGTTCTGCTACAAATGTGCCTCTGGAAGTGTTAACTTCCTCTCTAACTTATCGGAGGTAGGTCATGTAGTCTTGGAGTCCATAGTCGACCTAGATTTTAAGATAACAGAGTCCTATGAGTTGGAGATGATGAAAGATTATCTGGTCTTATGAACCATTTCAATGACACTTTTAAGTTGTTCGATGTATGCTTATTCATTTCCCACAATATATGAAATGCCTGGGTCAAAATTATCTGACTTCTTTTAACCGTTTAGCTTCCTCGAGAAATGGCATCAGACAGTAAGTTAGCAAATGAGGAAATTTTGGGACAGATAAGAGAGCTTACGTATTTTTTGCAGTTTAATTCAACAGTAGTACGAAAAAATATCCTGGTTATTACTAGAGACCAAGTGTCTTCTGTCTGTCAGGATTACTGCATACCATGGTCACTAAATTTGGAGAATATACGAAGGTCATCACATTAGATTAATTATATCTTAGAATCTCTAATAATGTGCATTGATAAAATTTCTCGAGAAACATTGATATTAAGTATATAGTGGAAGGTAGTAGGCCGAGTTGGTCACCGTGGTTTTGAAAGTTTAATCTGACCAGCAGCAGGATAAAAGAAATGTCACTGTGATCATATCACACTGATTTAATCTAAGAGTTAGTAGTATGATCAATTTGCAAATAATTTACCAGTTGTATGGTCCATGTTGACAGTTCTCACCGTTGAGTAGTTTTTCAACTGGTGAATTTTGGTATCAACATAGTTTCCATTGAAAACCATCCAGCCAAGGCCACAAGGTACGATTTCCGACACAAAAGAGTCATGTCTTAACGAAACGTACTACTGAACAGCTTGAGTAGTCACAAACCCTCCAAGCTGATCTCTAGATTTCTACAGCCAGATCAGATTGATCTGAATATCGTACGGCTGTTTTGCTCGTTTGGTGAGTAAATCATCAGCGTTATCCCCGGATAAACTGGGCTTACAGAACTGAATTATTCAGATCACCTGAATCTGGTTTGTTGACTTGATTGGCCAGATTCAGGTGATCTGAATAATTCAGCTCTGTGAGTCCAGTTTATCCGGGGATAGTGCTGATGAGTTACGCACCTAACGGGCGAAGCGACCGTCCAATGCTCAGATTAATCTGATCTGGCTGATGAAATCAACAGATTATCTTCTACTACTCAAGTTGTTCGGTAATATATTTAAAAGTATCTGTCTGCTGATATGGGTTTTGTAAGTGGCTAATGATCCACTTATTTAGCTCCGATAGATAACCGATGTCGGTGGAGGGTTACAGTGATACGAAATTATCCATAGTTATTTATACTGTTCGAATTGCGAGCAAAGGACTGGAGTACGAGTAGTTTTTGTTTGTTGTGAACATTAAATTACACACTGTTGAAACTTTTTCTAACTTCACATACTCTTCAGTGCAAACTTTTCTTGACTTCATTTCCGCTGTGTAGCAACCGGTTGATAGTATAGTCAGTATAATTACCGAATTCAGCTGAATTCCACACATCTTAAATAATGTACGCACAGAATTATAGTCACCAAAATACTAAACCACTCACCAATCGGTTGGTTGATTGATGTGAAGATAATGCTTATATAGAAGTTCATAAGAGATAATATACTGAAATTGAAAACGTTGTCTTTGAGACTAGTCTGGTTCACTTGAGTGTTTCATTCTTCTTCACTTTTCTTAAGAAACAAACAGGCCATTATGTGTAGGTTATATTCGTTTCCTATTGCTGGTAAACTAAGACCAATACATTACAATCCTAAGGTGTTTATATGATGTCTTAATGTAGACCTAGAATAGGCATCGCGATTTTTCACGTTTCAAGATGTAGAGAGAACAAATTATAGTAGTGTAAAGCCGTTATCAGTGGTTGATCTGTTTTTATTTTTGGTTCATTTGGAATCACATATCTAAAGACGACCCACAATAAGCCCTTACTTAATCTAATATATGAAAAAATATGCGACACTGACAGAACTTTGTCCAACTGGTAAAACAATTTTGACACCTTGTTGCTGTAATGATACTTGCAATTTCCCGTTGCCAGACAGGGCCAAATTACTTGACCTGTGACACCTATCTCAATTTGTTAGGCATAAGAGTAAAAATTCAGGAGACTTTTGTACACGGATTCTTCAACAGTTTCCTCTGACTATTAGGGGTTTCTACCTGTTTAGGGATTCTCTTATCGAAATAACCATTCTAAGAGAATCGGTAAGCTCCTGACATAACTGAGTGTACTCAAGATAATCTCCAAAATTATAAACTGTTGATAAATCAGAAATCAACCAAACATACATCTGATCAGTAAATAACGGTAATTATTCGATTATTTTATGTGTACAAAAGAAAACTGTTATATTCTACTCAAGTATGCTCAAAGTTTTCGCGAAATAGCTATTTATGTATCGTCATAATTATTACCATGTTTTGAAAACATGTTAATTTTCAGGAATTTCGTCCCATTGGTTACACAAGTATCTTTCCTATACATGAGGACAATTTAATGACAGTTATTCACAACTTCCCCCATACACTATAATCTGCCTTGGCTACTCCATTTCAGGAAAAAGACTTACCCAATCATAATGAAGATAGTTCTATTGTTTTTGACAATTAACCAACTTTCCACTAATTGGTGGGATAATGGATTTAAATGAAACCCGCTGCAATTAAATGCTTGAGAATTAAGTCCTCTTATTTCTTAGTTACAACCATTTAGCTTTAGTTTCCTCAGACTATTTCTACAAATGATTTGTTCAAAGAAAATCATTCTCATCAATTTTATTCTGTCATTTTCCCTTCTGCTGATCATTGAACATTTACCTCAGTCAAATGGGAACAGAATTGCAACCGGATACTTTAATAAGTAAGTTTAAGTGATATGGACTGGATTTTTCAGAATTTAGTTATCATTATTTAATGAAAAGTTTTCCCTAGCATAAACTCAAGCCACAAATTTATTTGTTATGGAGTATGCATAGAACTAAAGAGGATTCCATATGAAGGTAGTAAGATTTTTGCCTCTCTTTAATCTCTTTCAATTAAAATTACCATTTCTGAAGGTTTATAGATAATAATTATTGAGAGTTCCAATACCCTCAATAGATGAATTTATGTTTGTTAGTTTATCTGTAAATAATTTTTGAAATTTAATTACATTTGCCAGATATGGTTCATTTAACGTTATATTGAGCTAGTTAGTTATTAGGAACAGATTTTTGAACTGAAAAAAGTTTAGATGAAGTTATGCAAGCTAAATAAATCAATTTTGATATTCATCCAAGTCAAAGTATCCTGAATATTCATTCGGAAAAATCAAAGGACAAGGTTTTTTTTATTTATTTACCAAACTCAGACCTAAGGTAACTGAGTAGTATAGTCATTTTCTGAGGTACTGCTTTGTTGGATAAAAGAATGAATTCTAAAGTAAATACGTATTCACTCATTTAACAATATGTTTTGATGAAGATTTTAATGGGGATTTCTGTTTTGTACGTAAAAGCATCTGATAAGAAATAGTTTTAAACAAGATTTTTCCTATGCATACTATTTGCTTGCGAAGTCTTAACCTTATGCTTTTACTTACCCTACTGATGTTAATTTGGACACTAAGGCTACTACACAATTCACTTGGAAGATTCTAACTTGATGGGTTAAACCTCTTGTCAACAATAAAGTTTTATTTCTAAGAAATTCTGTTTTGCTAATCATTATTTCCGTCATACTGAGCACTTAGTCACTTAGATGGTTTCTGTTAATTAATTTTTTACCATTTGTAACTTATAATGATTAAAATACCAATAGTTTTGTCATCTGGTAGAATGTATCTCCAACTTGTAGGTCAAAACGATGCTGAATGTATACTCTTGACCTAAATACGTAGTTAACCTGTAAGAAAGTAGTCTATATAACTTGTAATATTAGATTTGTTTTAACCAGCACTATTTTACTTCACTGTCTTTTCTAACAAAACATAATGATACGCTATTGAATCTGACTACGTGGTATACATAATTTGCTTTTTGAAAGGTTATATGTCAGTAATTTTGCTGTAGGTCAAGTGACAAGTTGATATTTCAACTACTTCATGATCATTAAGAAATTATTATGCATGAATCCGTAGTTGGCGCCATAAATTTCAAGTTTGGTTCACTTTATTCAAGATTTGGTTTGATTTATGAAATGTATTTTCCAGTACATTTGTAGCCTCAAGGCATGTTATTACTCACACATTATCAGCGTCAACACGCAAAATGTCCCAATGTAAAGGCTTGGTACATCCTTTATGACAAACATTTTATAGGACTTATGGAATCAAACAGAAAGTTTGGGTGAATGACGACATAGTATCATCACCTTTTCTAGTTGTTTGAAACCAAACCTTCACTTAGAACTATTGATCGTCTCCTTTACAACTACCGAAAGCAATTGTGTCACTGACATGGCAAAACTAAGCGTAAACAAATGAATAAGTAACTGGCTTCGCTTTTTTTGGTATTGTTTTTCAATCTGTCTCCGGCCGAAAGTGTATCGTAGAAAAGATCTGTTCCATAAATTAAAATTCAATCACTGAATTCAATTAAAAGAAAAAGTTCTAACATTGTCATTGACTATAATTTAATATTTCCTTTGTGTACTATTAAGAAAATTCAACCAAGTATTTGATTAGACTTAACTAGATAATGTAACTCAAACTGAAATGTAAGTAGTTTAAAAATAAGGAATTCACTTGAAATTCAGTGTACTGTTTATACTAACGTTCACTGTTAAGATCTATCGTTAATTGATTAAGAATTTCCCTTTCAAAGAGTTAACTAATATGACTTTAAAAAAAGGCGGGTTAAACTCTACATTTTAGTATCACAACTACTATTTAACTTATTCTAAGCGATAATGAGTCACCTTTATAATTACAGGCGCATACTTGGTAGTAGCGTTCATAAGTCGTAGGAAATCAATGGCAAGCAATAAAAACACACTATAAAAGACAGTTTAATTGTAGATATAGGGTTGCGACTAACAATGTAAGTGAGTTTCTGCACCAAAAAGTATGCCAGTGACGAAATTATCATTCACCAATATGGGTGATAATGATAAAATTAAGTATAAGAATAGTTGCACGCGGATCAGTAAGAAATAAGTACCATCCAGAGAAGTCTTTCCCAGAACTGGAGACCATTAAAACTGTTAAGTTTGTTTTGATTACGTTAAACCAAATCATTTTAAAACAGAATTCCATTTCACTGTTTTATCGAATTATTAGAGTGTTTTATAACCGATGGTTAGCACATCTTGTTTTTATACTACCTGAAAATTGTTTCAGGGTAATCAGTAAAGGACTGAATATCCACGCTAAAGATTGAACAAAAAAATGAGCGTATTCATGCACTAATTATTTACTTATGTAAATGAGTCGCTTTGAAAGTTTGTGAGGAGTTTACCGACTTCATGATAGTATTCATCACAGACTGACATCGGTTAGAGAACCAACGAAAACCTGGCAGCACTGGACGGATGTTTCCTTCTAGTAAGGGACCCAGCAGTATGTACCGATGGCCATAACAGGGATCGAACCGGGAACTTCTCGGTTGCGTGATGCTATTCTGACTTCTTACTCTGTCGGTTCATGATATAGCGTCATCTTCATCCACTGCCATCGCTAAGTATTTGTCCTCACGTCCCACTTGGTTTGGCTCATTGCAAAACTACTTTCAAGTCACTGTTTTATCACATATACACTGAATAGATAGTGTACGCTTTCTACTAAATACTTCTAACTTCGAATAATTCATATTTTCTGTTGGAGATCACCCGTAGGATTACAACAAATCAACTAACAGCCGAAAACATGACCGTGATTTTAATGTGAGAATAGCCTATGTAAAGCTACATTTTATTGCTCTCCAATAAAGCTTGCATAAGAAAAATTTACTGAGTATGATGCTTAAACTGACGCCGAAAGCGCATGAAAAATTCAAGCAGAAAGAACAACAGAACTATTCAAGCATTCATATATGATCTACAAATAATTGTCATTAAAATGAAATTAACTGGGAGTGTGTAATATTAGCTTAATTTATATCTTCATATTCGTTTAGATAATATTTTAGCATAATATCTGTCAACATCGGTGAAAATAACCTTGTAGATGAGAAAACTGTTGGCTAAAAAGCACTAGGTAAGCTTAGAAAAAGTTTAAATTCTGTAAAGTTACAACACTATGATATGATCAGAGAATGGATGAAAGAAATGTGTGGCTTTTTTGTGTCCTTAAATAAATAAAAACAGCCCGAACTAAACTGCAAGCATTTTTTTCATAAAGTAATACAGTGTACATCGCTTGTGGTTTAGGTCTTAGTCTTTTGTGTCAGTTTTAGTTAGTGATCGACATAACTCAGATGGTAGTTATTAAAAATGTTGAGTATAAACACTGATTGGTCTGCAGCAGCCCAAACAGCTCAATGGTAACTTTTCTGAGTGAAACACTGGGTGACGCAGATTCGAATCTCAGAGGGGAGACCAATTCCTTAGACGTTACAGACAAGTGACGACAAGTATGAAATCTAGGTCAAGTAGAGCTTTTTGCCAATTGCCTTCAATCAACTAACATGGTATTATGCAATACGAATGAAGCCTAAACTAATTACACTCCAAAACAAACACAATAATGTTGGTCATTTTAACCAGCGAACATTTGCGTGAAATTTGTAAAATCTGATATACAGAACATCATGTAGATATAAAGTGAACTATGCTTTCAATAAACAATACTGTTAGATTAAAAATTTTAAAATACTTTTTTGGATTTTCGTTTATTTAGTTCACCTAAAAGTGAATAACCAGAGGACAACGTAATCCCAGTAAAAAGAAGTCAGTGAATGAAAGCTACCTATGTAAATGGGATAGATATCTAATTAGTTCACCAAGCACAATTTTATGGTTATTGTATACATAAATGAAAAAAGTATATTACTAAGCATTGAAAGTTTACATCCCTTGAATCGCTATCTGATAGACTTTACCTGGCCGATATCATTAGAAATCGACGCTAATAATTTTCAACGGGTAGATAAACAGATGGTTTCGCTAATATTATGAGGTTACAGTACTCTAACTAATCCGCTAAACAATGAAGTCTCTAAACTTCCACAAGACGGAGTGATGGCTTTCGTTTTTGCTAGTTTTAGGGTAACAATGACGTGACTGATCGTGAGTCTAACTAAATCGTTAACTTAACCGTAATATTTCCGGGAAATATTTTTTGACAAGTATGATTGAAACCCTCGGCTAAAGTGTAACAAGAATCTTCTGAGATTATCACAAAAAGTGCATAAGTCCTCAAGCATCAAAGTGAGGATGACGCAATCTTAAACAGATGACGAGTCACTCTATTTCATTAGTGTTTATGACTTTAGTTCTTTAACATTCATATTAGATATTCAAAAAAATCCGTGCCATGTAAAATGAGGGGGATGAGATAAGAATGTAAACAACTTTGAGTCACCATTGTGTAACTGCTAACTGGTCTGCTCTTATCTGATCTTTAGGAAGTTAGACAACTTTTTGCGTTTTTTGTAATAGATTTAGGATGGAAAATTCACTCACTTGACAAATGTGAACATAAACAAATATTCTTATCGTGACTTGCTTAACATGATGTTGAGATGAAAAGTGTCCCCTGGAATGTACTTTGGAAGTTTTGCACTCTAAACCTACAAAAAATAGGAACTCCATTGTTCTTCCAGCTGAAAAATGGTTCATTTCAGTGAAGACAGAGGTTCTAAACTGCAGAGGTGTATATATATATGTATATGTATCAAGAACCTACCTCCCTAAATTACTAAGATGACTTACCAAAGTAGCAAA